ATTTCTTTCTGGGGAGGTAAAATCACACAGCCTGTTTGTTTCCCTAGCCAGGGCGGGCGCCGAGCTGGACATATGGGCGTCTTGCGCTCCGCATCTGTGTCATCAGTCGCGTTTTCTGTGGAGGCTTGCCGTGTGTGTATGTGTGTGTTTGGGGCCAGGCGCTGGGAACAAACGTGCATCTGTTAAATTTGACAATAAAGTCCTACAGCTAAGCTGCCAAGGTTGGGGCGGCGGGTGGGGGCGGAAGATAGAGGGGGTGAGGGAGAGTTGGAGTCTCAAAAGGCGAGGCCAAAGCGCCTGGCCCAGGTATTATGTCGGAAGAAGGTGAGGAGAGCAGCTGCTCCTTCTCTCGGGGTGTGTATGGGAGCGAGGGTGCGTGTGCCCCTGTAAAGAGTACACACCGATCTGCTCAACATATGTCGCCACAAATCACAGTATCTCTCCCTCCTCCAACCCCCACTCCCCACGCAGCTCCTGACAGCGCAGAGTAGAGGGAGGCGCTGAGAAGAGGCGCCGTTTCAACAGGTGTCTTGGTGCGCAATGCACCTTTTCACGCATTCACAGTCTCCGTCCTCGGCAGTGATAATGCAAGCACTTTGTTTCCCGGCGCTGCGCACGGGCTGCGGATGCCCGGGGGAGGCGGCCCTAGGCAGGGAGGGGGATCTGGAATAAAGACCTAGGGCGCTCCTGAGCGTCCCGGCCCTCTCCTCTCTTTGTCTGAAGACTCCCTGGGCCGGAGCTTCCCTTGTGCGCCCTGGGGGGTAGCATATGGCGCCCTCTCACCTACCCAAGAAAAGGAACAGCCACCCATTCAAGAGCGCACGAGGTCCCAGGGCCTGGGGAGGGGGAACCACCGAGGGAATGGCTCCTCTCCTAAAGCCTGTGAGGAGCCCGCCTTATCTCTCCCCACCCAACCTCCACCATCCCCTCAGCTGGCGAAGCAGACGTTGGGTGGGGAGCCACGCGCTGGGCAGCAGCAGCCTGCGGAAGCGCCCCAGCTCCTGGCAGATGAAATATGGGGCTAGTGAGCCCCTGGAGACCATATGCTTTCAATAAAAGAAGACAAATAGGACCGAGATAGGCCTTGCAGCCAACCTGTTATAAATGAGTGGCAATTGGGCCAATGTACACGGGGGCAAGGCCCCCGGGGGGAGGACTGCTTGGTGCCAAATCCATGTGTCAGCTTCTGGGACAGGTGTGCCCAGGGACCAGGGGCCAGGTCTCCCCCCTCTGGGTTTATCACGGCAAAGGTAATATTGTGCTAACTATGAGTAAACAGTCATTGTGAAAACGAGGGAGAGTTTATCAGAGGCGAACTAGTTGGGGGGTGGCTTAACAATAAAGTTGTCCGCCTTGGGAGCAGGTGACGGCTGGCTGTGCCGACTCCCGCGGTAGATGTTTTCCAAAGCACTCCACTTTACAATCTCTTGTAATTATTTATTAAACGAAATCTATTTATTATTATTTTAGCAAACACTGGAGACAGGTGGGGCTTTCTTTTCGTCGTCTCCTTTTGTTTGAAGGGCTGTTTGAAGTGGCCAGTCTCGGCCCCGGCAGCTCGCTCGCCAGATTTTTGTCTTCCTCTCTTTCAGTGCCGAAGCGAAGGCGAGAGAAAGAAGCCCCCTCCTCTGGCAAGCCATTAGCCATTCAACTTCCCATGGCCCCCCCTCCTCGCTCGATTCTCAAAGAGCCCCCAGGCAATGCTAGGAATCCCCCCGTCGACAGGAAGGCGGTAGAGCCAGCCGCTGCCTTCCTTCTTTTCCAATCTGCCCGCGGTCTCCAGGAGTCTGGTTGTCGCCTCTCTCCTGGATCCCTTCAGCCTCCAGGCAAGCATAGGTCTCATAAGGTGGAGAGGCTCGGGGTCCCAGAGGTCTTAGAGATGACTAGGGAATGTAGGAACAAGCTCTGCTCCCAGCGGGAAGATCAGTTTTACAAAAAAAACTAGTGCGCACCGCGCAGTCACCGCCTGCGCCTCCGCCGCCAAAGCACAGGAACTAACTTTGGAGAGGGGTCTGTACATGCCCAGCAGCTAAGAGAGAGGGTATGGATTCTCGAACTCTAAATCTCTGGAACTCCAGACCCATCCAGCCTGTCCTTCTGGCTCTATGAAGAGCCATGGGGAATCCTTGCATTGTTAAAGGGCTGGACCCGGCTGCTGTGCGCTTCTCATCCCGAATGCTTTTTGCGCAAAGCAGCCTGAAAGCCCTGGAGGACCCAGAGGCGGAGAGATGTTGAAAAGTCTGGATAAAAATTCCAAGCGGGGTATCAGAACTCCCTACCGATCAAGAAATTTTGGAAAGGATCCCCCACCCCCAGAATTTCCCCTTCTGCACGGGAAACTCCTTCTGCACTCTGGCCAGTACCCATTAGCCTCTCAGGGCAGGCCCCAGCCAGGACGAGTTCCACCCCCATCTGAGACCCACCGCCAGATAAGAGTCACCCCTGTGGGCTGTTCTTCAGACCCCCCCAAGGAACTACAAAGTTGCTTGTATCCCTCGTGGTCAGGGTTGCCTCGATAGAGCTTGGCTGGGTCCCAGACCCCTACAGAAGCATGCTTTGATATTTCTTTCTCAATTTCTAATTTGCAGGGCTATAAATCAAGCAAAGCTGGGGCCTGGGACAGAAAGGTAGAAAGATGAAGCATACGTGAAGCTGGGAGACTGGGCCATTATTCCTTTTCTAATCTGATCCTGTCATTCCTCACAGGTTCCCGACTTCCTCTACCTTCTGCATTTTGCAGTCTCTTGTCTTCCCCCAAATCAAAGAGAGGCATTCAGTGCAAATGAAAATGAAAAGCACAAGAACTAACTTAAGAGAGGTAGGCTCTGAATTCCATATGACTGATAGATGTTGCTGAGTGACCTTGGATGACTTACTTCCCCTCTCTGGACTTTGACATTTCCATCTGCAAAGAGGGCCTAGAGTTCTCTTTCTTAGGACTAGAAGACACAATTATCACAAGTCATGACCTAAGGGAAGAGCTGTCACAAAATGTGGAGCCCAAGAGTTCTGTGCACAGGAAGGTTTTTGTTGGTCCTGACCCTGACTACACTTAATTTCCCATAGTCAGAAAGGAGCCTCTACCCACAACAGATGAGCTGGAATTCATACACAATGCCCCCACCTCCCCCCAGTCAGTACCGGAGCTCCCTCTCATTGGCACCCAAGCATATTTTCCTGCACCTGGGAGGGAATTTTGTCTCCCAAGTTGCTTGGGCAGCAAGAGACTATCACTAGGGCAGACTGCACTCTACCTTGTCCCTTCAGCCCCAGTCTCGCAGTGAGAGCCCGGCCCTTTCTACAGTATACAGGAGGATCAGAGTAGCTAGACATGCTAGAAAGCGAAGACCTCACTGTCTACAGTCTTAGTTCCTTGCTTCACTTCCTCCACCCCCAAAACACACCCCAGATAAGAAAGAGGACCAGAAGCCATAACCCCTGACCTTGAGTGACTGGAGGCAGACCACAGAGTGCCTGAGGTGGAGACAAGAGGGAGGGGAAGAAGAAGGATGATGTCTTTGGACTCGCTTTTGGAAAGATTTCCAGACAACACCAGTAGGGGCAAACCAGGGGTCTTGGAAAGTCCCTGCCCTGTTTCACCAGCAATTTCTGGGTGCTGCTGAGGCAGGCGACTGGACCAGGTAAAGCTGGCAGCCCTTTCCTGCATGTGATTGGACAAAAGGACTTGGTGAGAGGGTGTTGATCACTGGCTTCCCAGCAGTGCCAACACACCATGGAAGTTCAAAAGATGCAAAGGCTCCCTGTGAACTCGTGGACCCCTCCTGATGTCCCTGAACCTCCCAGGTCTTCCCAACAAGTCCCTGGCCTCAATGCTAGGACACTGTCCAGAGTGGTAGTGGAATGTCCCACCACAGCCATCCTCACCTCTGGGATGGGATCAAATGTCTCAGATGGTGATAGGGTGGGGTTCTAAGACTCTGTGTGGGGAGTGACTGGGGCTTGGAGACCCTCAAAGGTGAAGGTCTCTGAATGGAAGAAACATAGGCGGATCTCTCTCCGTGGTCACTCCTGTGCTCCCTCCCGAGATGGAGTCAGTGAAATACGACCCCACACATATTTCCTAATAATGCAGGAAAGCACGGTGGCATTTAGAAGTAGTGGGACCTTCTCCAAGCTGCTAGTCAGGACACTTGGCTCCTTGACCTGCCTCTGCCACCATCTTGCCAGTTGATTTGGGCAAGCCGCCTCCCTCTCTGAACCTAAATTCCCCGTTGTGTGACACTCAGGCATTGGTCTTCCTTACAAAGTCCCCCTCTAGGCTACCAAGAGAGGGTCTGGGCAGATGCCAAGCAAAGAAGGGAAAGAGTAAAGCGGTCCGACGCTGCCAGACGCGAGCCAGACAAGGCTCTTCTCACTGGGCGAGGCTCTTTGAGGAACCGAGAGTTGCTGGGACCGAGCCCGCGGGAAGAGAGCAAACAGAGAGGCGCTCCCTCCCCCGACCCCGGCTCTTTGTCCTGAATCCAGCTGTGCCCCGCAGGGGAGGAGCAGGCTCGCGTGGCGCGGCCCCAAGACCCCGACGCTGATTGGCCGGTGGCGCGGGCAGCAGCCCGGCAGGCACGCTCCTGGCCCGGGCGGAGCAGATAAAGCGTGCCAAAGGGGCACAGGACTTGTGGCTCGAGAAATCCCCGCCGTCTCCAGAGCCGCGCAGAAAGAGCGACAGGACCCAAGGCCCCCTTCGTGCTACTCTTCTCCTCTGGGGCTGCAGTAACTCCCAGGCGGGGGCGCCTGCAGCTCAACAAACCTTAGGAACGAGCAGGCCAATTCAGCTTCCCCTCTGCCTCCCTGAGGCTCACTCTTTTGCGCCGGGAGAAGTAGGTAACACTTGGAGGTCGCCAAGGGGTCGGAGGGGAAAAGTGGGTACCCCAATGCGGCGTGGGGTGGTTTTTCCTAGTTGTTGGGGTCACCCCCCCCTTACCTCAGAACCAGGGACTGCGGGGTGAGAGACCTACGCTCACCCTTCCCTCTTTCCTCGTCGCAGGATGGCGCCTCATCCCTTAGGTGTGCCCATTATCCAAGTGACCCACAAGACCGAGCAGCCCTTCCCCGGAGCCTCGGACCACGAAGTGCCCTGCGCCGCCTCCGCCCCATCTAGCCCCACTCGCACGCCGCGAGGCTGCGCAGAGGCAGAAGGGGGGAGCTGTCGAGGGTCCTCGAGGAAGCTCCGCGCCCGGCGCGGAGGGCGCAGCAGGCCCAAGAGCGAGCTGGCGCTGAGCAAGCAGCGAAGGAGCCGACGCAAGAAGGCTAACGACCGCGAGCGCAATCGGATGCACAACCTCAACTCCGCGCTCGACGCGCTGCGCGGCGTACTGCCCACCTTCCCCGATGACGCGAAACTCACCAAGATCGAGACGCTGCGCTTTGCGCACAATTACATCTGGGCGCTGACTCAGACGCTGCGCCTAGCGGACCACAGCTTCTATGGGCCGGAGACTCCGGCGCCTCCCTGCGGGGAGCTGGGCAGCCCGGACGGTGGCTCCCCTGAGGACTGGAGCTCTCTCTACTCCCCAGTTTCCCAAGCTGGTAGCCTGAGTCCCACCACCTCGCTGGAGGAGCGCGCCGGACTGCGAGTGCCCACCTCCCCCGCCTGCTTGTGCCCGGGCGCCCTGGAGTTTTCTGACTTCTTGTGAAAGGGCCTATCGGCCTCTGGGCTGTGGGTGCTGGAAGAGAGGGAGGGAGCGAGAGCCGACAAGGCTGGGTGGCTCTTGCTCCTCCTGCCTTTCACTGGCTGACCCCTGGTGTCAACCCATGGGGACGACGGGCTGGACTCAATCTGTCTGGCTGCTGGCCCTCCGCGCTGCAGCAACTCACGCAACCCTTGCTGCTGCCTGCTCGAATGGGCATTTCGGGCTGCGAGCATTTGGCTTCCTCCCTGTGGCAACCCCAAATTCTCATTCAAAGGAGACGATAATATAGCACTACACAATGGGAGATGCCCACAGTCTCTGGTCACCCTACCCTCACTCAAATCTGTTTGCCCTACCGTCTGTCTCTTACCCAACCTGATCTAATCCAATGTTTGGTCTCTCAGCACTTGCTCCTTTGCCCCCGCTCCAAAGACGCCTCCTCTATCCCCTATCAAGCCCGGAGTTTCAGACTGCTCCACTCTGCCTTAATTCACGAAGGTGACCCTCCGCCTTCTCCTGCACTTTCGGAGCCATTGCCCTCTCCCCAACCCGGGGGCGAGAGACCAGACTGCGAACTGGGAAAGCGCTAATCGGTAATGGGGAGCATCTACCCCCACCCCACCCCGCCCAGCTCCCCTGTGTCCTGCGCTTGAAATGTGAGATGCGCGGCAGGTGCCTGGAGCGCATGCTGGTCTTTAAAAAGAAGGGTGGAAAAAAGGATAAAGAAAAAATCAGTTTGTAAATTATATAATGTCTTTTTAAATGAGTTTTGTTATGGTAAATTATATACTCTCTTCCTTGTTTTATACATTTGTATTTATTGATGATACTTAGGGACAAGAAAAGTCTATATTTTGTACATAAGATTATTAGGGATTGGTGAATGAGATCTTGAGCCAATAAAAGATGGACCCTCAAGAACCCCCAGTAAGTGATTCGATTGTGCAGGGAGGTGGGGAGGTGTAGCCACTGCAGCTGAGGATGGGCTGAGAAGGATGAGCCTCTGTGGAAGGACAGAGGTAATGATTCTTCCTTGGGGTCTGGGGGCCCTCATCTGGGTGCTGGGCTGGAAGTCGGGCAGATTGTGTTGGGAGAGCTGAAGTCTTTTAAGAAGTCATTGGTCCAGCCCTCTTGTTTTTTTTATAGGACAGTCTTATTTTAAACAGTGATGTAGAAGAAAGACAAATCTCCACTTGGTGTGACTGACTTCCACTGCAGGCCTTTCTCCCCCACTCCATCAGCCTAGATTTAGAGCTACTCCACACTTGGTTGCAGATTCAGAGTCCTTGGAAACACCACTGCCTGGCTGGGCATTCCAGCAATTTTCCCAAGGTGCTGAGAGGCCCAGTGTATCCCCCTAAGCTCATTTTGCAAACCAACTGCTGGGGCTGTGGTGTCTTGATTCGTGCAGCACAGAAGGTAGAGGGTCCAGCTGAAATCTCTGCACCTTGTGGACACTCACAGCTTTGATTAAAAATTTATCAAAAAAAAAGTGTTCATGGTTTCCAGCCATGCAACCTCTGTTACTCTTGAGGTGGAACAGGGTTGGATTATTATGGGCGCTGAAGCCTGTCCTGAGGTAACCAGTGGAGTATTGCCAGTGGAGCGTCGCCTCAGAGAGGTCAGGCTGAGCCTGTCACTTGGGAATAGGAAAATGGAGAGCAGGATCCCTACCTGCTAGTTGAATCCCAGAGTCCTCCCTTGATGTGGGGTTCTTGGACCCAGGAAAGAAATTAATTAACCTTCCCCACACACACATACCAGGGACCCCGCTGCCAGGGGCCAGAAGCTGGGGGTAGGTCAATTTTCTGCATGTCAGGGAGCACAGGTAACAGCTTGTCAGGGGTTAACCCCTCTTGTCTCTCTTTCTCTCTCCTATGCCTTCCGCACTGTGAATTGAACCTTTCCTGTACTCCACTCCTAGTTCCCTAAAGAGAAATCAGAGGAGGAGCCAGGTCTGTCTTATCAGGGACAGGGCTTGGGGGCAGGAAGGGGACGCTGCAAACAAGTGAATGAAATGGAGCGTTGTTTCGTTTTGTGGCTTTAATCTAGGAGAAGGAGATTAATGGGTTATTGGTGACCTCAGCAGCCGCCAACTTTCCACCTGGGGCTCAGCCCTGGGAGGGTGTCAACAGCTCTGTGTTGCACAGAACAAGCAAATGCCTGCTACTTGTTGGTCACCGAGGGGAGAGGTGTAGGCAGACACAAAAAGCAAGGTCTCTGTCCTCCTGGGACGGTAGCATCCATATAGACAAACTCATTCAAAGCCAAAGAAATATTGGTGCTATGTAGAGGTAGAGGGGAGAAGTAGAGGATAGGACTGTTAACCTGAGACTAGATTGCCAAAGGCTTGCTAGAGGAGGTGGCGTTTGGGCCAGGACTAACAGTTTGGAGAGACCTTCCTGAAGCAGGACGATCCTTCCCGTGCAAGGCTGTGAGAAATAGTGTTCATTTAGGCAAGGAAGGAGTTCTTTGGAACAAATGACCCCCTGAAACTGGCAGAGTGTCTGTAGGACCTCCGGCTGCAACCTGGGGAGCTGCAGTGCACCCACTGCCCAGTCCCTCTCCCGCTTTTCAGGGCTCTCATTAAGGAGCTATTAGTCACCCAACGCATACAGACTGGTCCTCCGCCCCACGAATTAAAACACACACTTCGAATTTAACCATCGAAGTTAAATGGGCTGCTACCTTGAGTCAGGGGCGAACTTGACTCCTGAGCATCAGTCCTACTCTCCAAGTCAGGAGGCAGAGGAAGGTTTAGGATCTTTCCAAAGACGAAGCGCTCGGACGCATTCCTGTGAGTGGCTGTCCAACTAATCTCCTATCACCGCCCCCAAACCCCCCACGCCTCGGGCGTTTTACTTTCGGCGGCTTTTAAGACCAGTGAGGCTGCTCCGGGTCTCCTCGTGGAGCTCGCTGTTGCTCCCTCGGCCAGCCTTTCTTTGGCTGCAGAGCCTGCCTTGGACGCTGTTTGCGCCTAGCACCCAGAAACTCGGGCAGGATCCCAAGCCCGGGCAGGAAAGGTCCATTGATTGAATGACTCTTCCCTTCTTCTGCCTTTGTCTGATCCCAAGCCTAGTTTCCAGAAAACAGCACATGAATCTTGCGCATCACCGCCCCCCCACACACACACCGTCCGCACACACAAGCAGGTAGATTTATGGTGCCCTGCCCCCATCCCACCCCACCCCCCAGCCGGCCTCTGCCGGAGGACAAAGCATCCCGCGGCCATTGGAATGCTAATGTCTGGGAGCCAGGCCGCTGGGCTGGCACAAAGGCAGGCGGGACCCCCGGGCGTACCCTTCCCCCACGGCTGCGTGGCTGTGTGACCTTGGACAAGTCTCCGAGCCTCGGCTAATTCACAAGAGAAAATGGAATGAGTTCCTAAAAGCTTTTCACTAGATTTCTGAGTCCCTAAGACAGGGTCCTGTTTGCTGTGAATGGAGTTAAAACCCCCTACGACCTAAAGCGATGGAAATCACCGTTTAAGTCCCAGGTACTGGGTGCAGTGTGGAGAAGGAGCGGAGGGGCGGGGTTCGACTGAGAATGGGGCACAAAGTAAACAGTCAATGTACTTACATTTTCCCATTCACACTGTTGTGTCCCTTTCCCTCTCCCCCTTTTAAAATTCCTGCAGACCAGTGTTCCAGAAGGAAGGGGGTGACACTCAATAACACTACTATCCTACCATACCTTCTAGAGGCCCCGTGCACAGAAACTGGGCGACTTGAGGCTAGACAGTTCTTATCTCAGGTCTCCTCCCACTGGCACGGAGGTGGGTAAGGCAGAGTGGCCACACTCATGGAAACAGAGATCCAAAGTCCTGGAACTAAGTGAGTTGCCCTAGGCCCTCCGCCACTTGGTGAGTCATTATAGCAAACTCACACTAGAACCCTTGCTCTAAGCTAGCAGTTTGGTGCTCTTTACTCTGTGCCCATAGATAGGCTTGGGGCAGAGACCTGGGGGCGACTCCGTCTAAAGTTGTATGTGTTTTGGTTCCAGCTGGTTCCTTGGGATTCTTGTAAGGCCGATCCCCGTGGCTCATGGCCAACTTCCAAGCTCCTGTCTGCAGCCTCCGCTTCTGGAATCCGTGGGCCAAAGCGGACTGAGCAGGCGCTTGCCTGGCTAACTCTGTCAAGCAATTCCTCCAAGGTCCTAAAAGACTTGGGCGCGCCCCTGACCATGGTGCTGAAACTGCGGTTGATCCAGCGAGAAACGCGCGTCTGGGGAGGCGTTCACAACGTGGAAAACAAACCATCAGCGCCTTCTTCCCACGTTTCCGGGCTGGAGTCCTAGAGAGGCCCCTGTGGACATGAAAACCCAGAGGACTGTCATGTTTCCCTAGTGTGGTGCGGAAAGCATGGGCGTTGTGTCTACTAACTGAGTGACCCTAGTAAGATCTCTCCTCTCTCCATTCTCTCTCTTATTTTTAAATTTACTTGATCATTTTTACATTTACTTACATATGTATATATTGTTTTAGCTACCTCCCCCGCTTCTTTCTCTCTCTCTCTCTCTCTCTCTCTCTCTCTCTCTCTCTCTCTCTCTCTCTCTCTCTCTCTCTCTCTCTCTTTCTCTCTCTCTCAGGCACACAGGAGCTTATGCAAATCAGAACACTCTTAAATGATAGAACTAGAACTGAGTGATTACTTTAGGAATTTCTGACAGCATCTAAGCTATCTGAGGTGGAAATTTACCCTCAACAGGGGTTTTACTCTGGGGGTTACAATGAAATGTCAGTGGGTTACAATGAAGTGTCAGTGGTTCTGAAAGTATAGGCAAAAAAAAAAAGTCCTCCAAATGCAAACAGTGAATAACAGAACGATTTAGAGCAGCCACTTTAGAATCACACACCTGAGTTCAAATCATGGTGTTGTGACTAGTCTTTCTTAACGTCGTTTTATCTCTCTAAGGTCCACTTTCCTAATTAGTGAAATTGGAGCAATAAGTAGTAACCACTTAATTGAACTGCTGTACTTGCTTAGCCTTCTACACCTCCAAAT